CTCTTCTTCCCACTCCGATCTTAGCACCAAGCAATGTGACGGTTTACAACAAAACAGGCGATAGCTTGTTCGTCCAATGGAGTGAGGTAATAGGAGAGATCCTTGGTTACAGAGTGCGTCATCAGCGAAATGATACTCCTGTCGCCCTTGACAAAAATGGAACATTGAGTAATAACAGCTCGATATTTGTTTGCAAAAACGTAACGGCTGTGAAAATCGAAGAATTGGAAGTATATACAGACTATCATGTCGAAGTAAGAGCATTTAACAACGCAACTTTTGGGCCAAATGCTACCATTGCAGTTTTTCGTACGGATGAAGGCGGTGAGTAAGCACGTCCATATGTTGTTTCGCCCTGTCGCGAAAATCATATTTTTTTGCGTTATTTAGTTATTAATTCATTTTTTTTAAAGATAGAAAGTGCTTTCATTTTATCTGTTAAAAGTTTTCCTCGTGTAGCAATGCTTGTAATACACATTTGTTTGTTTGTTTGATCGCTTGTTTCTTTTTCTGGAAGTAATGCAAGGCAACTTTGAGGAGACCAAGATAAACCAAATAAAAAAAAGCACTCTGAATTGGCCCTACTATCTCTTCTCAATATTTTACAATTTTAATTATTTATTGATTCTTGGTTTCAGTACCGACAAGTCCACCTGTTAATGTTCGTGCAAAGGCAGACGAGAAGAATGCGACTTTGATTTCGGTGCACTGGGGACAAGTCCCGCCAGCAGATCGTCGGGGTGAAATTTCCTTCTACTCAGTTGCTGCTACTGAACATGAAGGAGAGGAAATAATTATTCATGAGCTCAATGTGACTGGTTTCAACGCAACCATATCTGGCCTCAAACCTTACACGTTTTATAACGTCACTGTAACAGCATGGACTAGCAAAGGAGAGTCAAACGCCAGTGAGAAGGCAGAAGTCCGAACCGCAGAGGCCGGTAAGGAGATTTTTGACAATGATAGCTAAAAATAAAACCAATATCAGGATCACGGAAAGCAGAGTGGAGAACGGTTATAGGGATTGAAGGACCAGAACCCCTAGGGGAAGGAGGAGTAGCCTGCGTTGCTGACGGTCTGCGATTTTAGGAGCGAAGATTTTTGGTGGGTCTTTCATTTTACTCTCCGCCCTCGAAACCGCAGACCGCCAGCAACGCAGGCTACTCCTCCTTCCCCCTAGGTTCCAGTCCTTCAATCCCATAGTTTAAAAAGCGGACTATGGAAAATTGACCGCTGCCAATGAGGAGGAATCATTAGATAAGAACATAGCCTTAAGGGAGCATTACATAAATTTTATTGTGACACAAAGAAATTCCCCCGAACCCCAGGCAATGAAAAATTACCAGTCCCGAGGAATAGGACATGGGATAGGAGGAACGGGAATGGGGAACAAGAAACAAGGAATAAAATACAGGAACGGCAAATAGATTAGAAAACAAAAATCGGAGAATGGGTGTGGGTGGAAAAAAAATGGAAAACGGTGATAAGAAGTAGAAGAATGAGGAGCGGGGATCGTAGAGCAGGGATCCGCAACGGAAAATCTCTTACTTTGATCATTTGTACTTGGCTTTGCTCCAACTTTATGACATTCGATCGGAATCCGCTCTCATTACACTTAGTCAGCTGTAAAACTCCCGTACCATTTCCATAGGAAATGAGCTCCCTTGGGGGAAATTAAACTCCCCCGTGGGTTTTGAGATCCCCATATGGAGCTATCACGATACAAAATCTTGAACTAAATCTTTAATTATAGGGAATTTCTATTAACTAAAACTAATTTCTTTGTCAGAAGTTTTCGGAATGTACAAACGTAAAAAAATATAATAATAATATAAACACCGATTTAAAATAACGAACTTGAAAATCCTAAGGAAAGTTTTCAAGATGGACAAACTGGGGTGACGGAGCGGGAGAGAGGATCTGCTTTGGGATACAAAACAATACTTTATTCAAGAGAAAAAAAATTGTAAAAAGTCTCTCGAAAGGGGATATTCTAGAGGTTAACCATATACAAAGATTCCCCGTCTTAACTTTATGATCATTTTTTTTCCATAGCTCCATGGGATCCTCCGACGCACGTCAACATGTCGTATGACCCCTTCATGTTGAATGATATTTTTAACTTTACGTGGGAACCAGTGGAAGGAAGATTAAATGGAATCCTTCGTGGTTATAAAGTGCGCTGGAAGCAAGTGAAATCGAATAAATATTATATCAGAAATATTAACAACAGTACAACAAATTCAGCATCAAATCGCAGGCGTAGAAGATCAGTTTCTGACATTATAACAGAAATCCGGCTAACAAATCTGAGTCTTTACACCAACTATTCTTTTGAAGTGGCAGCCATAACAGTCGCAGTGGGGAAATTCAGTGACAAGTATTATTTCATGTCACAAGAAGGAGGTAAGCATTTTCTAATTAATTTAGCAATTCATTTCTGGTGAATTCTTATGTGTTTTGTCGTCTTGGCCGCGATGCGGATTTATCAAATCCGGTTGCATGGACTTCAAGAAAATCATAACGGCGAAGGCAACTGTAACCTGATAACGCCGGTAACAACACAGAAAATTTTTGAGCACATCCTTATGCGAGTCTTGTGAGCCTTAGCTTGTAATGTGTTGCATGACCACACATTTATTTTACCCTTTAAGTAATGTGTCCTTGACCGTTGTATGGGACTTAATTCTCGTCATCGTTAGTCGTGTTTGGGTTTGTCCTTGACCTTGCTTACAGTCCTTAGCAGCGAGTTTTGTTCACGTTTTAGTTCTCGAAGATTGGTTGTTGATCAACTACTTTGTTATTCATTTCTAGAAGAAGAAGCTAGAGTTGCTCTTGGCTACGCCTCGGGCAACTCTTACGCATCTTTCGTGCTCTCCAAACTTCCCGCGTGCTTCATATCTCGATGAACGCACAGCTGACGTATGAACCAATTGTTTTATAACATTTTCAACCCGATGGAAAATTTTTTCTCGAGGGATATGTTTGCTGATGTCATGAGCGTGCACAATAGGAATATGAAGCACGCTCGCTCAATTGAATTTGATCAGACAAATTTACTAGCTATGTTATGATGTCTTTTGAGATTAATTTAGTAACGTTCTAGAAAATATGTTTACTCTGCCAGGGTCAGTTGCCCCGAAAGCTCAAACATGCCTACCGAAAGGGTATTAAAGAGCGTGTACTTAGGGCTGAAAATAAGAGAGAGGGAGAGAGAGAGTCTCAGAGTGTGAAGTAAAGTTCATGATCAGACTCCTGGTACCTCCGTTTGTGCATGGTGTTCGAGCCGGTTTTTTCCCAACCGTCCAATATAATTCTAATGATGTTAGTTTGCAGAATTTGGTATCGGATCAAATTATAATCCCATAATAGATATCTTCTATATTCTCATCACTTGTTTGCTTGATATTGTATCTATATTGTAAGGAGAAATTCTGTCATGATCACTCGTGCGAGTGAAAGGGTCAATTTGGCGTTTGTGTTTGCACCAAACTGCTGTCCAGCTGGCTGAGTTTATAGAGTGCGAAACGACTGGAAGGTCGAAGGTTTGAACCTTGCAAGGGAAAACGCACAGGGGCTCAAGCTTATCAACGAAAATTTATTCGCGAAAACATCTGTAAATGGTGAGACAAGTTAAACTTTCCGGCGAGGATCAAAACCCACCCGTTAAATAAGAGAGGGCGAAGCTCCCCTAACTCCTTCCCCCTGAGAAAGAGGTTGTAAAGTCAGCTCACCTCCTGTATCGTCTTTGGAGACCTCAAAGAACCCACACACTTATTCCAAAGAGCAGTGACATTTCTCTGCATTAGGGACATCTTCAGAAAATTGCCTTCAATTCTTCGAAGTTGGAAACCAAATAAAATTGAATAATCACTAATTCATCATTGTTTTCCTTCTCACAATAGTCCCAACAGCACCTCCAGGTAACGTACGATCTTACAACACAAGTTCGAGGTCAATTTTTGTATCGTGGACACGGCCCAACAAAAGCGAAATTCATGGGGTTCTTAAAGGCTACGAGATCTCTTACACCCCAGCTGATAACGCAAATGCCACGCGGAAAGTGATGCTATGTCATCTGAATACTTCATATGAGCTGACGCGTCTACGCATATTTACTTTGTATAACATCACGGTGGCTGCTTTCACCATAAAGGGGATAGGAAATGAGAGTCAATTGCTTCAGGTCTATACCGCCGAGGAAGGTACGTTTTAACTTTTATGACTTATGAATCCAAGTGATGTCAATTATTTGTAGCGTAATTCTGTTAAAGAGGTTACAGTATGCTTAGATTAATTCAGATGCAATGACATTCAGCTAAATTCACGCAAAGCAGAACAATATACGTACGTGGAAGGAACAATGAAATAATTCTACGGGGTTTATCTTTCTCGTTTCCTGCATCTTCTTTGTACTAGTTGCCAGGGACGTTAAAGAAATTACACTCTTCGCGCAAAGAGAAGGCAACTTAGCTCACAGTGGTGAGGTCTAGCATTGTCATTGCTAGACTCATTGATACAGACCCACATTTAAACCGGCTTTAAGTGCCCATGACACGAAATTTTTTTGTGTATTTATTTAGTTTAGCAAATGTACAAACCAATTCCGGATAGAAAAGAAATTTTAAAAAAGCTTAAAACTCAGTTTTGGCCCAAAAGTGTCACGTAGACCGGTGACTAGTTAGCGGGTGATGACGTAGAAAACTGTGAAAACTCTCGGTCGACACGCATAAATTACTCACATATCTTGTAATTTTGTATTAGTCAGCGTTGAAACACTTTTTAAAATGATGTTTGATAGCGATTTATACCTATCCTCAGCAAGCTCTACTGAGAGTTGTGATACTCACTTTCCAGCTCTCCTGACACTTTATTCCACGAGGATATTTTTATACGACATGTTTCATCAGGTTAACGGTCTGGCTATAAAAAAGTTGTTAATGGTTACCAAGCTCTCGTTAAGTGATATAATGGTGTATTCAACACGAATTGTAAGTTGTAAGTGCTCGGCCGTAAATGCTTACTGTCTAGAGTTATCTGTCTTTGTAGCACCACAGGCACCTCCAGAAAACGTGACAGCAGTTGCTGTCAACGGCTCTAGTATAAGAGTGAGTTGGGGTCCTGTGCCAAAGGACAAACGTAATGGAATTATCACGAGGTATAGAGTTCAATTTGGATCAAGAACTCTTAAAAATGTCACCAATGGAACTAGGCAAGTTCGTGAAACCCAAAATTCTGTGGTGATCGGAGACTTGGAGATGTTTGTCACTTATTCCTTTAGAGTGCAGGCTTGTACAAAAATTGGCAGAGGGAACTTCAGTGAACCTGTAAACCAAACGACTACTCAGACAGGTAGGAAAACCATAGTTGTAGCGCTTTACCGCTGAGCTATGTCACGGTTTGTGACTGAATTTACGTGTGGGTCTTCATTTCTGTTCGTGTGAATCCTATCCATCCTTAGCCATCTTTGTTCCTTCATTGTTTATCATTATCTCTTTTGAGTTTTTCCAATATCGTAAAATAATATTCTGTAGTCTTTCCAAAGTTGAAGGTACTTTTGCAAGGCGCAAAAAAAATTGGAGGTGGAATATCGAAGCATATCACGCTCGCTTAAAGGCACTCTACAGGCTCATTAGCTTAACGATGGCTATACCGATTTCGTTTTCACGAACGAAAAAACCAGTCATAACGATTAAAAATGGTAATAGGACTGAATGCAGCCCAATGCGGTCGGTAATCATACAAGTGATTAACAAAGTCGAACGACCCAGATGCGGGAGTCCGATCTGTTAAGCACGGGTATGATTACAGATTGAACGACACGAGATCTTGTTACCAATCAATCGAAACCATGATCGTTTTTTGGAAAGACTGATTAGACGTCGGTTTTATACATTTTCGTAAAAACAAAAACAAAAACAAACGTTAAGTCGGCGAAATGCGCGTACACGAGGCACACTGTCCACTTACGCAGGCAAGACGCTTAACTGGCCCATCACATTGTCCAATTACAAGCATGACGCGCACACTGTCCTATTAATGACAAAATCGGGCTGGTGGTAGCCAATCATGTTCGAGAATTTTGTTGTAATTTTCACTAATTAGTGATGAAATGAATGAAATAGATATGTACGCCATCGGTTATCTAACTTCTTCGGTGCCTGCGGTTCATAAGGGCCTACCGCAAACATGGTAGTCTTTCAGTTTTGCTAATGATGATTTTGTCAAATTACGTTGAGGAAAATTTTAAAATTGAACAGACCACGACAACATTTAGCTTATCATCAATCTTTATCGCAACAGCTAGAAAAACCCCAGAGAAGTGCTTGTACGTTTTTTGTAATTGCATAACTGATTTTATTTCGATACTTTTGCCTTTTAGTCCCTAATATTATCCTGAAGCTCTACGGAACTCCTAGTAACTCGTCTATTAACGTGACATGGAAGGTAATTGACAAACCCTTTGGGTTATATACGCCTGATAAGTATGAGATAAACTCATGCACAGTCAATGATTCATGTCCGTCTGGCAGCTGCTTAACAAACATCACATCAAAAAATTGGCATGAGTTTACAAATCTTCGTGGTGGCACTACACACAAGTTCAAAGTCGGGCCAATAGAATTATCTGCAAGGGATGGCACAGTGTTAACGTATCCTGAAGGAAATTTCAGCGAACAAATCAACGTAACGACAAAGGAAGGAGGTAAGGATATTAACTGGAAAATAATTTGAATTTGATATTTATGATACTTGGTCAGACATTGGAGACCTTGGTTATAAAGATACAGTAAGAACAGAACACAGGCAAATGTAAGAAGTAGGCTACCTTCACTTTAAAACCCTTAGAAAACTAGAATCTAATTTCTTCTCAAACAATCATCCATGAATCATGAAATGTTAACTTCATGAACAAAGCGGATATGATAAGCAACATAAGAAGCTCTTGTTTCTCCAGCCAATTCTCCGAGTCATTACCACAGGAAATGTTCCGAAACAATTTGGATAATCTGAGTACAAGGAACAAAGGGTGAACACAATGGCGGCGTAGATTGTGCTTTGCTGATAATTCAAATTGTAATTTTCTTGTGAATGAGCAATGTGATAACCTTTTTGCTTCGTTTCTTTCTTTTTAATTTGAACTTAGTGTTATTTCGATCAGCCAAAATTTTCGTCTATTTTGAGGCCGGTAACCTTTTGATCCCTAAAAGTGACCAGCATCTAATTTCTCCTTACAATATCACCCCTGAATCACACTTTGAGGTCATGAGAATAAAGGAAATGATCACCAACAAAGGAAGCTCTTGATTGTTAAACAACTATTGAAGAACAGTATGGAGAATATACATACTGATCTTCAGGTGTAAAGGCTTAAGAAAAAAGTTGAAGGGAGGAGCCATTCATATTTGGTCAAAATAGCCCATAGGGCGAGAATTGACCAGAAAATTGTTAAAATGTATTTTGCGTGATATCAAAGATTGAATTTCAAAATTGAGCATTTCGTTTACAGCGTCGTGATTTCACTATTGATCCGCAGTCTCTTTTCCGTTTATTTCTTTCCTCTTATCGGGATATCCCGGATCATGCCCATTACTACTTCGGTTACCATAGTAACACATAGCTACTTAAAAACACCCACAGTTTGTCAGTTGTAACTAAAAAAATGAGTTTTTTAGTTACAAAATCTCTATTATCAAATAAATGAACAGAAATAAGAGTAAGGGTATTCCTGAAAATCTTCACTGTTGCTAAGGGGTTCCCATAAATCAGCCAGAGCTTAAGATGGACTTGTCTTGCACGCTTGAGATTCCAACTTTTTTCCATCAATCGTTTTTAAACATCAGGTTTTGTGCTATCAAAGCGCACGTATTAGGAAACGAACGTGTTGAAGACAGTTTCGTCTATTTACATTTCCAGGGCGGAAATTTTTTCTATGCAATCTTTTCCTGAATACAATTAATTATTTCTTGTTGCGTATTGTTAAAATGCTGTTAAACATTTTTTTTTCACCCAGCTCCAACAAGATCACCTTTCAATGTCACTGCATTCCCTCACAGCCAAAGCAGCATCAAAATTACATGGGATGAAGTGGATCCATGCCACAGAAATGGGAAAATAACTGGATACAACTTAGAAGTGTATAACAGCAGCGAGCATAGAATACGGGCTATTGATTTCAACGATACAACTCCGCGTGAAGGGATAGTGAAAAACCTCGTGTTCGCGAATTACAGCGTTCGAGTCAGAGCCTTCACAGTTGCCGGGTATGGACCTTTCAGCCAGTTGAAGAATACGACAACACATGGACCAGGTACGACCTGACAAAAAATGATAATTGAACTGAGTGGGTCATCAGGTGATTTTTTAGGGCATCGCTTGGTTGTTAAAGGGAACGGTCGAACAGAGAGAGGGGGAAGGGGGAAGGGGGTGCAGTCGTCGTCAACAGAGTATAAGGGGGGGCTAAAACCAATGACAAAATATAAACTTCAACGGAGATCGTCTGTTCCTGTGCGAGAAGAGCAAGAATATTGCACAGTTCCGCGTAAATAGAATGTTCCATCTTTATTTCAACCATTACAAAAATGCCTCTATAGACCGTTTGAATATAGCTTTGGATGTAATTACATAGCTTTTAGGGGGAGTGGAGTTG